ATGTATAAACCGCCTAACTTGAAACAAAAGGCAGCTACTTCGACTCTTGCGCACTCTTGCTCCCTCGGCGATGCGGTGTGGCCCTGCTAGTAGCTGCCTTTTAGACTAAATTGACGATACAGACAGAAACGTACGACACGATTCTCCATTCTGTTGGCAGCAAAACGAATCGAGCCACACCGCATCGCCGAGGGCACAAGAGTGCGCAAGAGTCGTTAGTAGCTACCTTTTGTTTCAAGTTAGGCGGGTTATACTGGGAGATTGGACATCGATGCAACACTCGGCGAGCTAATCTTTGACCTATTTACAGCTGGTATGCCCCCCACGCACGCACGCCCACCGCAACCAGCAGCAGCTCCAGCACCAATCTCCCAGCGAGCCACACCGCATCGCCGAGGGCACAAGAGTGCGCAAGTCGTTAGTCGCTGCCTTTTGTTTCAAGTTAGGCGGGTTATACTTTCGGTTTGCTGGCAACAGAATAGAGAATCGTGTCGTACGTTTTAGTCTGTATCTCCGAATTGCAGGTGTATACGAGGAAACGATTTTGCACGATGCTAGACGAATGTACTGTGTACGATTTGAGCTCAAATTGGTTGAGTTACGTGTAGTAAATCGTAGGTATTCTAAGACTAGTAAATGACGAATTTCCTTTGTTTATTGAAATCACACTCCTTCTCTATTATCTACTTCTGATGCCTATCTTACTGAGCCTGAAACAGGACACGATATTAACGTATAGATAGAATTTAATTTAATTTCAAATGCCAGAACTAAAGACACAATGCTATCCGCTTCTTTAAATAAAATACACCTAGTGCACTTTCGTGCACCTACTGTGACTTAAAAGTGCGATTCCCAAAGTCAAAGTTAAGTCTCTCTGTTAGTAGTACACTTAGTAAGTGAACTTCAGGGTAGTGTGTTACACCCTCCACACAACCTACCTAATCACACCACACACACACCACTACACCACTTGTCAACCTCTCACAAACTCAATTTTCTGCAGAGGTGGCTTAACAGTGGAGTAAAATAGAGGTGTAAAAAATGTGTTAGCTTAGGATTTTTATGCAGTAACTTATGCAGGTGCCCACCTATGCAGGAATTAAAGGGTGTTTTCTGCCACCATGCCTCCAGACATGACATGCACTGTCAGTCACAAGAAACGTTTGCCAAAAACTACCTTCAATGCATGCATAGTTAATACTAATTTAATGAATTTTTGCCCCACTATTTCACTCAAGCTTTGATGGCCCTGCCACTTCCACAGCTTAGTAGAGCACGAAGGGTCGTTGTCGTAACAGGTACTACAGATATGTACTCGAGGTAGTTTTAGGTTGTTTAGTATTATGTTTATATGTTTATATGAGGTATGTTTAGGGTTAGGGTTAGGGTTAGAGTTAGGGTTAGGGTTAGGGTTAGTGTTAGAGTTAGGGTACACTTCTGTAGTACAAGTCTGGTACACTTTGTGTATACATATATGTACCTCGGGTACATATCTGTAGTACCTGTTACGACAACGACCCCTTGAGCCTTAGTAGATGGAATGTGGACATGGCAGAGTTTATTGGGTAGGTTGTGTGCATGATATAACACACTAACAGAATTTTAACGGAACATCATAATCGCAATAATGCAGAATTAGGAGTAGCAATACTACTACTAGCTGTACTAGTACTACTGTCAGTACTGAGTACTAGCATGCGTTCATCATCATGGCTCAACCATTTAAATTTTGAGTGATTCCATGAGGTTTAAAACTAATAGTAATATAATCCAGTTGTGACTTATATTCTAGTACAATTATCAGCCACACGTTAAAAATTACATTCAGGAACATGTGCCTGGTCAAGACAGAGTAAGTCACGATGATGAAATTTGTTCAGAAACTGCATCACGTGCATGAACTGTGGAGTGAAAGTGAAAAGTCACAGACTACTTTTTGCATACGTTTAACGACAATATGCTCGCAGGAGTACTAGTTTCTCAATACACAGTAACTTTTAATTATAATAGTGTAAAATTCCCGTTAAGCATAGACGTCGTTTGGAGTGGAAGAAAATACCACACTCGATTACATCACAAGTGACACTGTCACTGTGACTGTATCATCATGGCGACTCGGCGACGGCATGCGCACCACGCGATACCATACCTGTTTTGCTAAGTTCGATAAGAAACGTCGTGTCTGTCCTGTAGCTATTAGTTGTGAACACTGTTTAATATGTGAAGTTGCGATTCTCGCCGCCGAAAACATTTTAGTGTTGTTTATGCCACAATGCACACAAAATAGAAAGACGGCGAATGTTCTTCACGTGCTCCTCGGGTGACCTCGAGTGGCTTGTGCTTCCATCTGACGATAATTTTAGTCGATCACCAAGTGGCAGCACCAGCAGGCATGAGGCGTGCAGTGAGTAGCATGGCAGGAGCGAATGTAGGCGCTTCTCTGCGCCTGGTCACGGATAAAATTAAAGTAGCTGCGGAATGTAGACCCCAGGTATGTTAAAACAGATCTTAACCGTTTAATTTATCTATCCTTAAGCTTATTACTACTAATTTAAAGACCAAAATGCACCATCGCTATGCAGCAAATAATCATAATGCAACGTAGGTACTTTGTTTGTTTTCAAAGTACGCCTGCTTAGCTAAGTTATCACTGACCTTTGGTTGGACCTGCATGGGAGCCAGCCAGCTACGTGCGTAAACACTGCTAGCTACAACATGGAATGGTCGGCTAGCTGCTTAGCTGCACATATTAAAATAAATAAGTAGTTTACCTGACAACATGAGCTTGCAAGCTCCTCATTGTCAGTAAAACGGTGTGAATTCTAAATAATGTGGCACTGTTCCACAGGAACATTGTCACACATGATACATCCCAGTCATGTCTGTCTTCTCTCTCGTGCCACTACCAGGAAGGAGGAATAGATGCATGAAATAGGTTCTCTGCCCCCCTTGCTACCTTCTCTCACTCTTCTTCACCCAATACTATGCACACCATATGAGTCGGGTGGCTGGCCACATATTTTGACTCGACACTGTTGTCCACACGACACGTAACACAAATGAGTAAATTTTAAAAATCAGTAAAAGTAGGATCTGTTGCTAACATTTCATTTTTTATTGTTATGAACTTTAATTGATTGGATGGTGATTGGATATTATCCTTGACTCCAATTGGCACAATTCGCTACAGGCCCTCTCAAAGATTCAAAGATGTTTATTTGTGCATACGACATACATACACAGTGTACAACAGAAGATATGAGAATGACAGGTCACAATACATGATTTGACAGATGAAGGGCGGTGGGTGGCGAAGGACTTGAAGGTCATCAAAGTCTGCCACCCCTGATCTCCTATCTGTTCATTTAAGACAGTTCTTCTGAGACTCATGGGGAGAACCCACTGTTGTGATATGCAGTATTATCATCAATCTGTATTCTGACAGGCACTACAGACTGCAAATGTAAGACTAGTTGCTGTTGGGAAAACCAAGCCAATAGAGCTGATTCAACAGGCATATAACCATGGACAGAGAAATTTTGGAGAAAATTATGTAAGTTGTTACCTGCATTACAACATGTAAGTTATATTTGTGGGTAGCTAGTGGCCATGTCTATTACTTGCTGGCACCAGGTGTTCTAGTAGTTGTTTTACCAGATTTATAACACCTCTAAAGTTATAAATAAAATTTTTCCTAATTCCGTAATCTTATCTGCCAAGATTCACTAGCAAAATCCATATTATTAGTGTGTGTTTTAACCTTGAACTCTCCTGACACAGTTGGCTTAATTCCATTGATGTTGATGGTTGACATTAATTTAGACAGGGCCAAGTGCAATGGTGGAAACAGTGCTGTATTGTTTCAAAAATATCTCACTAAATTAGAATTTTCAAGGTTAAAATACAGGCCAAGAATGGATTTTCATGGTGAAACTTTGAAAGGTAATAGCTTTTGAAATGGTCAATTTTCTTTATTTAGGAGTTGTACAATCTTAATTATTAGCAATATATACTCTTGACTGTGTCAATAATATCCATTTATTATCTCCTAGGCTGTATGCCTATTTTTTATCATAGTGTTGTTAAAGATAAGAGTACATAAAACGACACTATCTGGTGATCATATTTGTCTTACCATATACTAAAAAAACTAACAGTTTTTACTTACTTTAAATGCTAATAATTGTTTAAATTACAAATTGTTAATTGAACTATTAACAAATGGGAAACCTGCATACAGTGGTGCTTGTATGTACATGATCTAACCAGTTTCAAAATTAACTAAAAGGGGACCATGATATAGAAGAGGTAATATATATATAATAATATCATTGATAGTTGCTAGTTTTGGTTCTCTCTTTCTGGTGAATTGCAGGGAATTATACAAATGAACAGCATTTATGCACTGTATAAGATGCGGATACGTTTTGTTATGAACATGTCATTGCTAGTTATATAGATTCATCTGTCTGGTTCAAAAACAAAACGTTTTTACACTGGATTGCATACTTAACTGGTAAACTGATTGATGTGTAAAGTATATATTTTTTAATGTTTTAATTAAAGGTCCAAGAGTTATCTGAGAAGGCAGCCAATCCAGATGTAAGTATCTAATTACTAAAGAAACCAACTCGTGGGGATTTTTGCTACGTTGTAACTGACAGAATGACTAAATGAACAAATCTCATGAATAAATTGGTGAATAATACAACTTCAAAATTAAGCCATGCATAATTGTAGTTTAATACTATAATAGTATTACATGCATAAATGTGTTATGTTCCAGGTTGTTGCAAAATGTCCTGATATAAAATGGCATTTTATTGGCCACTTGCAAAGAAATAAGGTTAAGCAATTATCAAGTAAGTATCTATTTCTTTATCGGATGGTCTGAATATGGGTGGCTGCCTTGGAGTGAAGCCCCCCCCCCATACAATACAGTGAATACACCCCACATAATTGTGATAGTACAGGGTTTCTACTGATGGAAAATTAGACAAAGGAGGTAATGGCCAGTTTGGGGGAAAAAAACGCGCATGATGGATTTAAATACAGGATGTATTGATATACTTATAGGTATATAGATACAGGATATACTTATCAGTAAATACAGGAACATTTTCACAATGTCGATGTTAAATTTGACAATGGCGGTGTGCCACTGTGCCTCCTATGTATAAGAGACCCTGTATTATACTATTGCCCATCCCGCATCTGCCTGCTCTGCCCATCTGAGATGAGACTTGCACAACGTTTTCGTGTAGCATGGAGCGATTTCTTTCGAGTTGAAAAAAGGATTAGTAAAGGATTTTACTTGTTAATAAATGTAGAATTTCACAAGGAGACTCATTTCCCTTTGGATCGCTTGTATATCATAACCGCCCCTCTTCCAAACAACTTTTGAGAGCAATATTCTATTGCTAATTGCTCAGTATGGTTAACAAGTCTAGCCACAGAGTAAGCCTCATGCTATCATGCTACGGCTTACAGCTTCATCATTGCACCTTCTCAACATCAGCAATAATGAGCTGCAGCACTTGCTAATGAAATTCCAATGAAATTCATCAATCTGCACTATCAGCAGAAAGCGCCTTAATTCCCACTTACGGGCTCTCAGGTGCAACGCCCTGTCAGCACACATTATAATAACGTCTCGCGATGTACTAGCATCGAATCTACTTTGGGTGTCAATTATTATATTCGTTCATTCACACATCGTATATACCAAGCGTCGAAACGTTTTTCAGGCATTGCCAATTTGTATATGGTGGAAACAGTCAGCAGTGAGAAAATTGCGTCAGCGCTAGATATGTCCTGGGGACGACTGAAAAGGGATGACAGACTGAAAGTGATGGCACAGATCAATACTAGTGGCGAGGATAGTAAGTTTGTCTCAGTGTAAAACAATGGTCATAAAAATATTTTTTTATAATGAAAGATAGTTGTGCACGTAGTCTCATAAATTTGTGGCGACTCAGCAGATGCATATATGGAAGCATCAGTCACTGACATTGATGGAAGATGAATGGATGCTGATAAATTTATCAAAATAGTCATTAAAAATTCCCATTTATTATGTACCTTGTGTAAAATGTCTATATATTTTTCACATCCCCTTTTACTTGCAGCTAAACATGGGGCTACACCTGACCAATCTGTAAAGTTGGTTAGGCATATCCTTGAGAAATGCCCTAACCTACACTTTATTGGGTTAATGACTATTGGATCTTTCAACCATGATTTATCGTCGGGACCAAATCCAGATTTCTTGGTAAGTGTTTTTGATGGAGGAAGTATGGTTGCTACACAATAACTTATAGGCACTGACGTAATTGCTAACTAATTTAAATATTTAGTTTTATTTCAGTTATTGGTATTTTGTTCCACTAAATCGGATCTTTTGTCTAGTGTTGATCTTAAAATTGCTGCATATTTGTTTTAAAATGACAGGGTATAAACTCATGTGCTGTTATGGTACTTGCTTTTGTGCCTATGTTTCATTAAGTTGGATATGTAGTATATCCTGTTTAACAATGTATTGCATGTTTTATTTTAACATATGACCTACTGTTTCAGATTCTTGTTGATTGCAAACAACATGTGTGTAAAGAGCTGCAATTAAATCTGGAAGCTGTCGAGCTAAGCATGGGCATGTCCAATGACTTCGAGCATGCTGTAAGAATTCATGAGTTACATGACAAGTTTAATAAGTTCTATGTACTTGTAATCACAGTTGTATAACTTTTCCCTAGCTAAAACAGTATGTAATATTTACTTGATAAATACTTAAAACAAGATAACTTTATTAAACTATACTGCATCATAGCTGGAGAATAAGTCAAAATCTAGTTCTTCTTTTCAATTTCTGATGGGATTTAAAATGGTTGGTCATTTAAAACAATAATCTCTTTAATCTACTGATGTTACAGATCCATCTAGGCAGCACAAATGTGCGAGTCGGAAGCACCATATTCGGAGCTAGAGTATACCCTGCCATGAAATCGGGAGAGAATCGGAATGCGACGTTGCCCACGTCCGAGCCACAGAGTACGGTAACAACATAACAGGACACGTGAAGTTGAAGCATGGTGCACTGGTGATGGCAGCTCTGCGTCAGGAAGCATCTGGTAGAGAATGGTACGGGATCTGATGTGGGGCCGATAGCTACCTCACAGGGTGGAGGTACATGTTGATCACATATCAAATCCAGTGCCATATAGAAACCAGCCTGTGATATAATTAAGGGATAAGATTAGCCTTGCTTTCAGCAGTATATTTTAAATGAGATTGAGACTTTTAATGGACAAAGTATTGATCCATGCATTAGTGTTAGGGCCTAATATCAGACTTCTTGCATTTATGGAATTTGTATTTGGCACGTAGGGTGCAATCAAATTAAATTATCAGAGGGGGAAAAACTTGAGGACAATAGTCATTGCGTAAGACTCTATTCTCGCCTAAATAGTGACAGAACTAGCTGTTTATAGTAAGTTATATGACCTGTCCCAGACCTAGGAACAAATTTGCTCGAATTATTCTATCAATGGATTGGGACAAAAGTGTAAGACAGGGACTGGACTGTAGGAGTAAGCTTCATTTCTGGCACCTCTTTGACCTGATAGAGTTGTGACCTTTTGACCCTCAGGAAGCAATAATGGTTTATTATTTCTTGTTCATGATATATAAATAGAAATCAAGTACAATGGGATGAATGGTTTATTTAGTCTTTTCAGGAAACTGTCTGTTGACACTAACAAATTTTGTCACATGTTTATTGTTTATAGCTTTATTGAGAAGAGCTTTGAATAAAATTCTTCTTGGTTTGTAAGAAGTAGCCATCCAGTGAGTCATGATGAGCATATGATACTCAAGGTGTGGGCAACCCCCTATTTGGGTCTTGTAAGAATAGAATGTAACATCTGTGGAGATTGGAGAATGAATCTGTCTTTAATGTAAACATGCAGAACTTACGTATCAATATCAGCATTGAATAACCTGAAATATGTTATTATACATATGCTATATTAGTTTGCAACTGGCTGCTTTGTGGCAAATAAATATATAATTGGATATATATGTGGTTCCCAAATCATTATTCCAATCAGTTTGGTTTTATTGCAAGAATTTGATTGATACAAGCAATTGATTTTGATCTAGCAGGTTGGTCTCTTCCTAGTAAACAGGGTTAGGGTAGCAGGGTTAGCCGTTACTTCGTGCAGTCTGGTAGTCTGCATGTAGCTACCAGGAACCAAGATGAACTCAACTACTGTAAATTCCATAATTTCCTGACATTCTGTGGTGTGTGCTAGCAAAAGCAATAGCAGAAGAAAGAAGGGAGTAGCAGTATTAGGAACAGCTGTGGCAGCTACATTTGTTGTAGTAGTTGAAGTGGTAGTAGTGGTAGTAGTAGTAGTAGTTTCTCTAGGATTGGTTTCACTCGATGGCACTAGGGATTGTTTGTATAATGTTGCATATATGCATTTGCACTGTTCAGTAGAAACGACTAAAAATATATGAGGAAAATATAGATGCAAACCGTGGTGCTGCAAAAAATGAAAATAACTCCCTATTTCTATATAT